AGTAAAGGATCTTGATACAACTTCACTACTTATCTATCATACTGTTAACCCATATTTTTTACATTTCTTTCTTTCTTTCTTTCAACACACCGGCCGTATCCCACCAAGGCGGGGTGGCCCAAAAGGAAAAACAAAAGTTTCTCCTTTCACATTTGGTAATATATACAGGAGAAGGGGTTACTAGCCCCTTGCTCCTGGCATTTTAGTCGCCTCTTACAACACGCATAGCTTACGGAGGAAGAATTCTGTTCCACTTCCCCATGGAGATAAGAGGAAATAAACAAGAACAAGAACTAGTAAGAAAATAGAAGAAAACCCAGAGGGGTGTGTATATATATGCTTGTACATGTATGTGTAGTGTGACCTAAGTGTAAGCAGGAGTAGCAAGACGTATCTGAAACCTTGCATGTTTATGAGACAGAAAAAACACCAGCAATCCCACCATCATGTAAAACAATTACAGGCTTTCATTTTACATTCACTTGGCAGGACGGTAGTACCTCCCTGGGCGGCTGCTGTCTACCAATCTATTACCTAGCTTTTTTACATATGTTCTTTTAAATTATGTATATCGAGTAAATACTTTATCGTTATAATTACTCTTTTTCTTTCTCTCAGATTCTGGCGGGGATGACTTAGAACAGGATGATATGAGTTGTGCTGATGTATCTTGTCTTAACACAATAGAAGATGATTTACCTAGATACCCACTCAGATTGTTTGGTAAGTTAGCTAACCTCTGGGCTTGTTATGTTAATTGTCACACTACTATTAATTTATCTCCATATACAGTGGACCCCGGTATTCGATATTAATCCATTCCTGAGAGCTCATCGAATACCGATAATATCGAAAACCGAATCAATTTTCCTCATAAGAAATAATGGAAATCAAATTAATCCGTGCAAGAAACCCAAAAGTATAAAAAAAAAATTTTACTGCATGAAATATTAAGTTTAATGCAATAGAATAATTACAATAACAATAAAATAATTGATACTTACCTTTAATGAAGATCTGGTGATGATTGATGGGATGGGAGCAGGGGAGAGGTGTTAGTGTTTAGAAGGGGAATCCCCTTCCATTAGGACTTGAGGTAGCAAGTCCTTTTCCAGGGTTACTTCCCTTCTTCTTTTAATGCCACTAGGACCAGCTTGAGAGTCACTGGACCTCTGTCGCACAACAAATCTGTCCATAGAGCTCTGTACCTCCCGTTCCTTTACAATTTGTCTAAAATGGGCCACAACATTGTCATTGTAATAGCTGTGTTAGGGCGATTTTCATCCATAAAGGTTTGCACTTCAACCCACTGTGCACACATTTCCTTAATTTTTGAAGTAGGCACAATGTATTCCACAACTGGTATAGGCTTCTCAGGGTTAGCCCCAAACCCTTCAAAATCTTTCTTAATTTCCATGCTAACTCTCACCCTTTTTTACCACAGGGTTGGCACTAGAAGCTTTCTTGGGGCCCATGGTGACTTATTTTGCAGAAACAAGCACCAAACACAGTGATAATATGGAATGTACCGAATGTATCCTTAGCTGCGCGCACACTGGCTGGCTTGTAAACACTGGCACACAAGGGGCAGTTCAGGCCACATGTGGACAGGTCTCGTACGAATCGTATCGAATACTGGGTTTTCAATCAAATACCGAGGAAAATTTTTTGCGATATAATGCATCGAATACCGATGCCATCGAATACCGGGGGTCCACTGTACTGTTATGTCACATAGGGGACAAAGGGCCATACAGGACATGGCAAGAAACCCAAAGTATTTCCATTTCTATGCAAAATTCAAGCTAAGAACTACCTGTAGAATTGGACCATTATTGAGAGGACTCAGCAAGGAGAGTGCAAACAACAAATGAAGTAGCAGCAGCAACACTCACAGCTAGAGGCATTCTTGAGCTTCCCCAGTGCTCGGGCTTCGGCCCAAAGCTGGGGTGTGGCTCTAAAAGGATCCTGTAGTGCTTGGTGCCTTTGCACCTCCTGATATCATCTGCTGCTGTATAGCTGCCACACCCTTCGAGCCCAGTGTGGACGGGATTTGAGGCAGCCCAAGGTGCCTAGCTTCTCTCTCTGACCCTCCGTGGGGGTGGGGAATGGGGTTAGGCCTAGGGACAGCTGGTCCCAGAAGATAGGAGGTACTTGTACCTCCTCCCATGGCAGACATTGCTCTGAGACACATCCGCGAAAGGGAGCCAAGGCTGGGCCACCTCTTGGAAAAAGTCCGGACCAGGCGATTATACCGGCGAATCTAGAACAGGACAGAATATTGAGAGGAGATTCATTTACTGACAAACAGGAAATGAGTGAAATCATAAAAGAACAGTATGAGCCAATATTCAGCAACCTATTAAATGACAGCAAGGTAGAAAATGCACAAACATTTTTCACTCCAGCAGAAGGCTGCACAGACCAACTAACTGACATTAGTAAAAATCCCATAGATTTTGAAAAAGAAATGGATAACATGCCCACTCACTTAGCACCTGGACCAGATTCTTGGATTGCCCTATTTATAAAGAAGTGCAAAGTACTACTAGCACGAGCCTTCAGCATTCTTTGGAGAAAGAGCTTAGATCTAGGTGAAATACCGGAGGCCTTAAAGAGTGTAAACATAGCTCCTTTGCATAGGTTGGTAGTTGAGCACGAGCTAAAAATTACAGACCAGTAGCCCAAACTTCTCACATAAAAATCTTCGAAAGACTGATGAGATGGCAGATTACAAATTTCATGGGCCAGCATAGCCCAAACCAGCATGGTTTTAGAGCAGGACGATCATGCCTGTCACAGCTGCTGAACCATTATGGCAGAATTGTGGAGGCATTGGAAGACGACCAAAACGCACATGTGATTTACACAGATTTTGCAAAGGCGTTTGACAAATGCAATCATGGAGTGATAGCACACAAAATGAGGGCCATGGACATTATGGGAAAGGTAGGCAGAACACAAAAAGTGTAGTAAACAGAGCAAGATCCAACATTAGCTAGGTAAAAAGCTCAATGCCCCAAGGCACTGTCCTGGCACCTCTGCTGTTTCTCATCCTCATAGCAGACATAAATAAAAACACCTGCCACACTTTTGTATCATCATTTGCAGATGACACTAAAATAAGCATGAAAGTCACTACAGTAGAGGACTTGAAAAATTACTGGAAGACATATGCAAGGTTTTCCAGTGGGCAGTGGAGAACAACATGACGTTCAGTGGGGATAAGTTCCAGCTGCTTAGGTTTGGAAAGAATGAAAAACTCAAAAGGAACACTATAAACAAAACTCAAGAGGGTCACCAAATAGAATGAAAGGAACATATAAAAGACCTGGGAATAATTATGTCAGCTGACCTTTCTTTTGAAGATCATAACAAGACAAAGATCACGACAGTCAGGAAGATGATAGAGTGGGTGTTGAAAACTTTCAAAACAAGGGCAATAATGCCAATTGTGACACTCAAATTGCTAGTGCTCTCTCATTTAGAATATTGCTCAGTGCTGATGGCGCCGTTCAAAGCAGGAGAACTATCAGAGCTGGAACAAATACAGAGATCGTTTATGGCTCACACTGAGCCAGTAAAGCACCTAAATTACTGGGAACACCTTCAAGTCTTGAACATGATATCTTACCAGAAAATATCAGAAACACAGCTGGAACAAGTGTAGAAGCCTTCAAGAGGAAACTGGACAAGTATCTTCACTTGGTGCCAGATCTACCAGGCTGTGATGAATATATGGGGCAGCAGGCCTCCAGCAGCAACAGCCTGGTAGACCAGGCATGTACTAGACAAGCCTGACCCATGGCCGGGCTCTGAGAGTAGTGAAACTTCAAAGGTATATCAAAGGTACCCTTGGAACACTTCCCTGAGGGATGTAACTATATCAGTAATGCATCTATGCATATACAGTAGGGCCCCACTTATGTGGCGGGTTAGGTTCCAGGCTATCGCCGGAAAGCAGAACACCATTTTTTCCATTTATAAATGCATATAAATGCCAAACAGCAAGTTTACACTAAATTATATTAAGTTAATAATAGAACTAGGCATTAAAAATACAAAAAGTAAAATACATACACAGTACATTCATTACGTATCTTAAAGTATTTGTAATCTTAATGTAGGGCGAGAAGTGAGTAGTACTCATTTGTAGGAAGTCAGGTGTAGGTAGCCCTGGCTCCCCATCTCATACTTAATATACGATATTTAAAACATCCCAGAGAGTTAAAATACACATACAGTACAGTCATTATTTACCTTAAAATATGTGTAGTCTTAATGTAGGAAGAGAGGTGAGTAGTATTTATTTGTAGGAAGTAGTGTAGGTAGCCGGTAGGTGTAGCCCGCCTGGGCTACACCTACTGGCTACCTACACTGTGGCCCAGAGCCATATTATTAGCATCGACATGCCTTGTTCACTGAATTTAATAATTTCTAACAACTACCTTTAGATGCCATCATTAACGAAGGGAGAAGTAATGAATAATTCATGCCGAAAATTGTAAACAAAAGCGGAGTGGGGGAGTGGCTGGGCCAGACATAGATTCATACACGTTTTCTCTGGTGCCTGACCAAAGAAAACGTAATGTTGTCCCTCCACCCGGCTACCATACAGGTCCACATGTATTATTATCAGAGTACATATAAAATATGCAATAAATGCCAGACAACAAATTTACACTAACTTATATTAAGTTAGCAATAGAAATAGGCATTAAAAACACACAAAAAAAGTAAGATACACACAGAGTACACTTATTACTTACCTTAAAATATTAATATTAATGTGTGAGAGGTGAATGGCAGGGTGTTTATGGAATAAAATCAGAATGGCAGCACACCATCATCCTCTAACTTGGCACTTAAAGCAAGAGGCTTACGACTCCTCTTTTTATCACAGCTAAGCTTAGACGCCATTGTCAATGAGAGCAAACTAGTTAATGAAAGATTCAACGAGAGAGAGAACAAGATACAGAGTTCAGACAATGTAAGAACACAAACTGAACAGGTAGTGGGCGATCACTTTGTCAGGTGAAATAAATGCATATTAATGTGTGTCTACTTTTGGTTCTTTCACGTACGCTTGTAAGAATGTAAAACTTTTACCTCACAGATTTTTTTTATTATAATAATAATTACCTGACAATACAAATACTCTTACATTGTGTACAAGTTGTACAAGTTAGTACAGAATAAACAAACAGCAACACTCCCATTCTCATGCAACACCATTTTTAGAGTGAATGAAGGTGATGGTATTATTATCATAATAAAAAAACACTAAACCTACAAGGGTCATGAATTGCTATATATAGAGAGAAGCCATACGAAAGGAATATTTTTCTTCAGTTATCCCTCAGTGTTTGACTAGAGAAAACATAATTCTTCCGACGCTACCTATACATGCGCTTTGTAAACAAATCTCATATTTACTTCAATTTTTATTCTGTGAGTGTATGTATCATGTTTATATGCTATGTAACGTGTTTCTTATATAATTTTGAGGAAAATATCATAGATGGATTAATGTAAAGTAAGACGTTTAATGTGCCCAAGGGTGATGATTATTACGTACTATTGGCGTCATGAGTAGAGAGAGAGTTAGCTATTTTAATGTGTACCTGCACACCAACACAGTGTGTAAGTATATTTAGGTACAGGTACACATGAGTATAATTATCAGAGTACATATAAAACTCGCAATAACTGTGAAAACTTGA